TGAAGATGTTTATTATGATGTTAAGAAAAACATAGGCCGGGTGTTGGTGTTTGATCTTAGCACTTGGGAGGCAGAAGCAGGAGGATCTCTGTGAGCTCGAGACCAGCCTCGTCTACAAGAGCTACTACCAGAACAGCCTCCAAAGCCACAGAGAATTTCTGCCTCCAAAATCCAAAAAAAAAAAAAAAGGAAAAATATACAAGCAGTTTTTAGAAATAAAGGTGAGTTTGACACTCTAGAAAGAGTGAGGAACCTTACACAGGTCCTGTCAACATCCATAGCCACACCTCCTGACACAGGAAGTCCCACCTCCTGAAAAGCAACCCTATCTTCCCAGGGAAAGTAGAAATTCTTCCTGCTCTACCCTGACAAGAGTTGGTTATAAAAGTACATTAATGTGTTAAAATTCACAGAACAGTAACCCACAACCCCACCCAGTGAAAAAGCAGTTCTATGTAGTAACATGGAAATAAGCCAGGCATGGTGGCAGGGCTGAAGGAAGTTCTAGTAACAAAAGCGGGTGTTGGATTGCCTGCCCGGAGCTATGCGGGGATGGTGTCTTCGTGTCCACATGGCCAAGTCCCTCCACCTGCCGCCACAGCTGGGAAGCTAAGCCTGTCTTCCTCTGCAGAAATGGCAACTTCTCTACCACAGAGTCTGTGAACATGACGGATAACGATTCACAGATGAGCCATTTCTGATGTGCACTACACCAGAAGCTCCAAGTTCCCCATCTTGGGCAGCCTTGGTCATAGAGCTCCCAGGAAGCTGCTGCACTGACCCTGCATGGCTGCTCAGCTGGTAGGCAGCATTGCCTGAGATTGCAGTTGGAGCTCCCGAAGTCCCAGGCTCCTCCCGCGGCCACACAGCCTGGCACAGAGCCAAGACAGAAAGCCCTGATTCCCAGATTCCACAGGATAGCCTCCCGCTCTCCCGGGTCATAGACCTCACTTAACTCTAGCCTTAAAAAGAAACATTTTTCTCTTCTTACTCATTAGTTGAAGGGCTTTGCTAGATGGTGTTATTAGAGAGACTCACAAATGGTTAGAGTTCAAAGAATGTCTATGGAGTGCTCGGCCATAAATGGGACATCTACATCACACCCCTGCCAGAAAGGCTCAGGAAACATTATAGGAGAGGGGTGGAGAAACGTGAGAGCCAGAGGTTGGGGAGGACTGGGTGGTGCAGTGTTTACTGGACATGACAGAACCACTATAGTCAGGAATTCATAAGATCAAGAGCAAGCCAGTCTACACTGCAGGGTGGATGGGGGTGGGGCACAGCAGCCCCATCCCTAGCTAAGACACTATAGAGAGTTGCTTCTCTGCTAGGGAAGAGAGTTTCCTTTAGGGCTGTGGTATCTGCTAGGTTGACCACCCTCCAGTGGATAGCCCCACATCCCTGTATATATGGACAGCATAAATTAGACTCAGTAGGTTATGAGAGAGAGAGAGAGCACAGTGTTAGGAGGCAGATGTGGGGAGAGGGTCTGGGAAGAGTTGGAGAGGGAAAGAGCATAAATATGATCAAAATACATTGCATTCATTCATGAAACTCTCAAAGAATAAATATATGTAACAAATAATTATTACAAAAAAAGTTAAAAATAAAAGACTTTATTAATAAGCCAAAGTAAGCCAGGTGTGGTGGTGCACACCTTTAATCCCAGCACTTGGGAGGCAGAGGGCAGTGGATCTCTGTGAATTGGAGGCCAGCCTGGTCTACAAAGTAAGTTCCAAGACAACCAGGTCTGTTACAAAGAGAAACCCTGTTTCGAAAATAATTATAATAATAACAATAAACATAGGTAATAGTAGTGATAATAATAAAATAAGCTAGCAGTAAACTCTAAGGGCAAAAATTCAGCAATGTTAATTTCTACCTCCATATGTTGCTCTCATCTTCCCAAGGTCAGGCTCCTACGGGAGTCTCAGGCAGTTTTTGGCAGGGTATCCTGGATGGGAAGGGACCTGCCTGTGAACTTCCCTTCGAAAGGCCCGACCTCAGACAGTCACCACAAAAACCCAACAGAGCTAGAACAGGAGAACCAAGATTGGTACTGCCTGCTCCTCTGCCTCCTCTAAGGTGTGATCCAAGGCCTGCTCAGAGGGGAAACTTGAAGGTCAAAGGCCCCAAACGCAGGCTGCCTGAACTTCCCACTGCTCCGGGGAGCCTTGGCACACTGCTGGTGGTCAGCACGGTGGGAAGGCAAGTGAGGCTGACAGCTTGCTGGGCTATTTTAGGGGTATCAGTGGCAAGTCTGGACCCTGTGCTCCCAGAAAGCAGTTCAGTTTCCAGGAAGACTCTCCCATCAACACCAGGGTTAAAGTGTGCCAACCAGACAGCCAGCCGTGTGTATATCTAAGTCTTCCCAAGGGATCCACACCTCAGAACAGATCCTGAGAGGTGAAAGAGTCACTCCCCCGCCATTGCTGGCTGTGCTTCCCAAGCATGCTCCATCCAGCAAGCTGAAGCCACGGAAAACAAGGGTGAGGCCAAGACAACTTGAACAGCCCGAAGCGTCAGGATTCTCGCCAGTAACCACGGGTATCTCTCCTCCCCTCTTCTCAGCTTACCACCTCTGTCTCTCCACTATGTGCACAATCTCCACAGAGCCACAGAACCGCTCTGACAGTACTCAATGTACAGTGGCCTCCATCATGCACCTCCTTCCTAACCAAAGCCTCAGCAAAGGTCTCCGGATTATCAAAGGAGTCAAGAGAACAAACAGCTGCATTCTACCCAAGAAAAGAAACTCTCCCCAGCTCAATCAGCAATGGCAATGCGTACATTTCCACACAGGATCTGCATACTCACATTTATGCACAGATACAACCAACTGTACAATGGACAATCCAGTAAGTTCCATATCAACCTAGAGTCCCATGCAGTCCTCACTAGACTGCAGCAGCCATAGCAATCGCAAATGTTCCATTATGAAACCAGGTGACACATCAAATGCCACTCTTTTCCTACCCCCCATCTGTTAAGAAACTGGATGGCCTAGAAGGGAGAGAGACACAGGCAGCATTCCTGGAGTGCAGAGCAATTGTTGGAGTGTCCCTATAGGTGGGTAGCTCAACATCTTGGCTGAGAGCTGCAGCAACTGGCCTCCTAATAAACACATCCATCTCTCTGCACAATCCTGGGCTCAAGGATCTTCTCAGACCATCCTGGAAATCAGTATCTATTTTAAGCCCTGATAAATCACATTCCCAGTGCTTAAGAAGCTATCAACTTTGCCCCTTTACCCTTTCCCTGTGTTTCCCTCAGGGAGACAGTTCCACAAAGGGGAACTTCTAAACTGGATCTAAATTTAAAAGACAGGACCACTCCTAGAGCAGAAAAACAACACTGGCCACAAATACCAGCAAACAGTTACTAATGCCTTTGCCTTAGGTTCAAACTCTGTGGCACCGACAGGAAGCAGGATTTGAATCTAATGCCAAAGGCAGGCAATACTCATCTTCATGATGGGGAGTGCACAGAGTCTTGAGTACAGGTTACTAAGAGGTAAACTACTGTATAAAAAGTCACATTGGCGTGTTTACACTTCTCAACCCAGAATCTTCATCATTCTCACACTAGGCCCAACCCAGCACAATGTCCTTATTTTGCCCTGACATCTATGAGTTTGCTGAGTTTTCCTCTGTAGACTTCTAGCTTAAGTGCTACAACATGGGAATCACAAAGGCTCCCAGCATAAACCAGGGCACTGGGCTGGTACAGTCCCAAGAGTCAATATGGAAAGCAGCTGTCCAGGGCAGGAGGTCCTTAATGGCACACTGGGAAATGTAGGATAGTACAGAACACAATTTAGAGTATGGTTAATCACAGCCAAATGGCCCTGCTTTAAAATATACCCACTTAAGTCTACGGCCATACCACCCTGAACGCGCCTGATTTCATCTAAAATATACCCACTTAGAGCCTTGCACGACGATGGTAAACCCCCAAACCAGCTGCAACTTTGCCCATAGACACCGCAGCCTGGCAAGGTTGCAGACCACTCCCTCCAGGGCTGGGCCAACCTTTCCCATCTCCAGCTCCCTGGAGCAAGGTTTCCAGATCCAGTCCCTGGGGCCTGCCTCCTGTGTACCTTCATTCTTACTGGGTTGAACAATAACTACTGTCACCAAGCGAACACTACCCTGGATTAATCCAAAGTGTGGGGGGGGGGCGATCATGCAAAGGACGCCCCCCTGGCGCCCATCCACACTGCTTGTATGCACTTCACAGAATAACATGGTGTAATATCTGCTTGCCATGAAATCATGGAGTCTAAGCAACAGCACCGGGGGTCAAATGGGAATGCAGCCTCCACTTCCTCAGAAAGCAGAGGGCTGAGCTGCTGCGAAACAGCGGTATTTTAGAATTCGACTCTGCAGAAGCTAAGAACAGCCTGAAGACCAGGAGTAGCAGTCACTGCACTCAACTCCAGTCATCTCCAGATAATCTGGGTCTGGTCTATACACCTTGAAAGTAACTCGGACTAAGAAGAGCATGCGCCCTAAAGCAGAGGAATCGCCCTTCGTTCCTCTCAGTGAGAGATCGACTGGCACCACAGGAAGTTTCTCAGGAAAACAGCCCAGTGAAGATGCTGAGATGGCCTCGCACCGGGCTCTCACTACGCTTCAGCTGCGACCAGCCTCACCCCTGGCACCTTGGTCCTGTGTACTGCAAATGACCCTGTCTCAGCCGTGCCATGCATTTGGATCCCTTACACCAGGAAGGCCATACTTTACTGACCCCACAGGTGCGACACAGCCAGATGACAGAAAACCTCTGGCAAAGTGCTCGCATGGTCTCCACCCACGAGAAACCTGGGACCACCCCCATGGGCGGTAGGGCCATCTGTTTAAATTCCTGCTCCCTAACCATCTGCTTCCAGAAAAATCACAGGTGTGGGTCAGGAGTGTCTGGAACCTGCCCGGCTCATACTCTAGCCTTCAGGCCGCACCCTGCGCCCCTGCATCCCAGTGTCCCCGGTTGATCCTCACCACCGGTGTCCTCGAAGTGCGGGGGCGGGCGATCCCGCAGCGCGGCGCTCCAGCCCCCACCGGTCTCATCCTCCTCCAGCTCCAAAGGATCCACGGCTTGGGGTGGCGGGGCGGTCCCTGGAGGAGCGGGACGCTCGCGCTCATCGTCCGAGGAGGCGGCCGAGGAGGAGCGCGACGCTGCAGAGGTGCTGTAGAAGGGGTTCCCGCCGCTGTCCGGGCCCGACTCGCCGAACACGTCGTCTGAGATGTGCAGGCTCTCGTACCGTGCGCGGGCTGCCTCCAGCAGCGCCGGAGCCCTCCTCCGCGCGCCCCCGCCGCCCTCGGCCATGGCCCCGGCCGCCGCCCGCGTGCCCACACCCCACAACGCCTCCCAGCCGCACACGCCGGGCCCGGGACCCCCGCCGCGGCCCGCGGCTCCCCACCAGCGCAGCCCGCAGCACAGCGCGCGCCGCCCCGCGCCCGGCCGGCCCGCCGTCTTGGCCGCTCGGGCCGCGAGCCCGGGATGCGCCTTGGAGCTCGGGTGCCGCTAGCTGCGGCCGCGGCGGGAAGAGACTCAGCCACTGCCCGGCGCCGCCGCCGCCGCCGCCGCCGCCGCCGCCGCCGCCGCCGCCGCCCCCGCCCGATGCGTCTCCGCCGCGCCCGGCTCTGTCGCGTCCCCGTGCGCCCTCCCCGCGGCAGCCGCGTTGCACCGCCGACCTTCCCGGGCGCGAGCCGCGGACCGGGCCCGCCTCCAGCACCTCCAGCCGCTGGCCAATGGAAATCGCGGGGCTCGCGAGGGCGGGGATAGTGGAACGCCCCACCTTCTTGGGGCGTGGCGCGCGGCCAGTCTGACGCGAGGATCACATCCCACAGGCTCCTAGCCGCCGGCGGGCGTGGGGAGGGAGGCGGGTCCTCATGGTCCGTGCGCTCTGGCCCGCCCCATGCGCAGCCGCGCCCGGAGCGGGGGAGCTGTCCGCCCAGCGGTTCTGAAATTCACGCAGTGAACACTCTCCAGGTGGGCAGCCCGCCAGGCTGGGCCGGGCGCTCCTGTGATCAGGCTACTCTCCTGGCTTCCCCGAATCTTGTTCGGTCAGACACTAAAACAGTTTCCTTCAACAACTGTCATGTAAGGGCGACAACACTGAACTGAAGTGGCTCGTCATTCCTCACAGTCCTTGACACTGACACCTTCCGAACACAAAATTGCTCCCAGATTTATCACCACCTGCGCTCTGGTATTGCTTGCGCAGGCCTTGAACACACACACACACACACACACACACACACACACACACACACACACCTGATAGAATCTGGAACACGCAATCTCAAAGAGGATTATATGGTCAGGAAAGAAACAGCCGGTCGCCAGGGCTTCAGCGCTATAACAATGGAGCAGAGTTCGGTCTCCCCTCTTCTGGGGCAGGAGCATGAGACCAGCCAGCCTCCCCTCATCAGAATGTCTTCTCCCCTCCTCCTCCCTAACATGATGCAATAAGTCACGTTAATGGTAATTGGGTCATAAAGTCACTTTCACTCTGAAATAAAATAAATCCACAGAGATATGAAAGGTTTGAAAACCCTACTGGGTATACTAAATGATGATTACACAAAAGCAAAAGTGTATTAGCTATTTCTAAGTGTGCATATGGAATGAAGGTGCTGGGACCAATCTGCCACCAGCTGAACCTTTCACTCATGTCTTCCTATCCCCAGATCCTGTGACCTCCAAACCAGGTCTCTACATAGGCATGAATCCATTGATAGTCACAAGCAGACAGGATGGGAAAAGGAAGGGACTTACATATCATTCCCCTCTGTGTGTATTAGCTGATAAATAAGAAAGTATTTGCAAAGCATTACAACTTTTGGGGGAAAATAAGGCAGGAAAGGGAGGTTGATAAAATAGGGTGCCTATAAGCAGACTTAATCAGAAAGTGCCATGAGAAATTATAGGTTAAAGGAACAAAATAAGACCTCATAGATCAAATTCAAATCCTGGCCAAGACTCCTGTAAGATTTTATATATCTCTTAAAAATAATGAAGTGACCCCCCCAAAGGGGAGGGTGACTTAGAGGGTACAGTCTAAAGAAAGAGTCTATCCTTCCCCAGTCAAGGATGACAAAAGCAGCTAATATATGAGTATGGTTCTGGTTGCTTTGTCAGCATGGGAGCGTTGGACAAAACACTAACAGCTAAAGCACAGTCATTCATTGGTGCTCACACCAAGGAAATACAGGACCTTTGTGCTTTCCAGTAGCTCATTTGGGGAGTAACAGAGGGAAGAGGATTACATGGTCAGGAAAGAAACAGGCTTACCGGCCTGAGGATTCAGTTCAGTTAGCAAACTGTTACCAAGCATGCAAGAAGCCCTTGGTTTGATTCCCAGGAATGTACAAACTGTCTGTGGTGGTACGGTCCTGTATCCCAGCACTTGGCAGATGGAGGTGATAGAATCAGAAGTTCAAGGACATCCTCAGATACATAGTGAGAGAGCAAGTTGGAGGCCAACCTGTTCTTCCAGAAGACACAGGTTCAATTGCTGGCACTTCCATGACAACTTAAAACTGGCTAACTATAGTGTCAAGGGGTCCAATGCACTCTTCTGGCTTCTGCAGGCAGCAGGCACTCACACGATATGTGTCCGTTGGGAGAACACCTGCTGCTCTGAACTGCTGAGAAATCTCTTCATCTCCCTTATCTAATTTCTATTCAATAAACTATTGTTCCCTATATTCTCTCTCTTCTTTATTTTTTCTTTTTGAGACAATGTCTGATGTGCCTAGGCTGTCCTCCAACTTGCAGACAAAACAACCTGTGTTAGTTACTTTTTTATTGCTGTAATAAACCATCATGACCAAGGCAACTTATAGAAGAAATCATTTAATTGGGCTTACATTTCCAGATGGCTAGATTTCTTGATGGTGGAACAAGGCATCAGAGCAGGGACAGCTGATAGCTCTCATCTCAAGCCACAAGCACAAGGTAGAGAGAACTAGCTTGAAAGGTCTGAAGTATTCTCATACCTCAAAGCCCACCTCTGTCTCCTCCAACAAAGCCAAACCTTCTAATCTTTCCCAACAGTTCTACGTCCTGGGGACCAAATAACCAAACGCCTGAGCCTGTGGAGGCCACTCTCTTTTAAACTACCACACACCTATAGCATTAAACAAATACATTTAAAAAAACTAAAATTAGATGACTGCTTCAGCTTATAGTCAAGCACTTAACATGTTATTTTGTTAAGTTCTCCAAGCAAGAAAAAGTGACAATATGCCAACCTTTGGATGCAGACAACTGCTTCTTATACAAAATATAGGAGAGAGGAAGACAAAACAGTTAAGGAAAAAGAAGTTCTCATTTGTCCAGTACCCTCTGCTTAATGCCACTGTTGGTTCCTTGTCATTACCTTTAGTTGGAACATAATTTGTGAGCATAACTGTAGGATATTACACAGAGGTTGTTTTCCTTTGGGTCATTTGAAAACATCCTCCAAATAACAACTTCAAAACTAATTAATCTTAGATTAACATTGAATTTTTAGTTTTAGGGTTTCTGAAAGAGTTCCAGGCAGTGAAAGCAATTAATCTATAGTAGACTTCTTAGGTTTTGTTAAACCAAAGGTATGTGTGTTTATGTCAAAACCATAATGGAGCTGGGGAGATGGTTCAATGGTTAAGAGCACTTGCTCTTGTAAAGGACTTGGTTTAGTGCCCAGCACCCGAATGGTAGCTCACAACTGTCTATAATTCCAGCTGCAGGGAATCTGATGTCCTCCTCTGCCCTCCAGGGGCAACAGGCATGCATATATCCAGGCAAAACACTCATACACAACATAAAAATAAATAAATCTTTTTTAAAAAATTAAAAACCTGTCATTTTTATTGTGTGTGAGCCTTCTTCTTTTACTTTTTATATTTTTGATTGATTGGTTGACTGATTGCAGTACTTGGGATTGAACTCAGGGCAAGAGCTCTGCTTTTGTGCTCCATTCCCAGCACCTGCATCCATCTCCTTTTATAGTGCACTTCCTTAGGTTATTTTTTTCCATGTTGATGTAATAAAATAGTCTGACAGGAGCAATTTAAGGGAGAACAGGCTTATTCTGGCTCACAGTTTAAGGGACAGCACATGCTAAGTGCCACCATGCCCAGCTTTTGATAAGGGTTCTGGAGATCAAACTTAAGTCTTCATGCTTGTAAAGCAAGCGTTTTACTAGCTGATCAATTGCTGCATCCTCCACTCACCTTGGATAGAGCTAAATTGATAGGAGTTGAGGGAACCTTTCTCAGGGCCAGGTTCCTTTCTGAGCAGCACCCAAACTAATCAATAAGCTCTTTTATTACAGAGATACCCTCTCAGACTTGGGAGTTTAGGGTTAACACCAGTGAGGCTGGTAGCAAGAATCCAGGGAAGGATATGAAAAAGGTGGTGAAGTAGCTTTTTTTCTCCTTGAGTTGTTAAATTTACATATCCATGCCCTAATCTCAGGCAGCTAGACTCCTGCCAGGCAGCACACATAACTGATTAGTGTTTCAACCCACTTTCCTTAATCCAGGGTTTGAAATCATTTTTTCAAGTGAATATTATGAAATGCTTAGAATGAAGAAAAAATAAATATTGCCAAGTTTGGTTTTTATATTGTCCGATAACAGAGAGAGTTGAAGCATCTGTGCTGATTCCAAAACTCTGTAGAGTTTGTTTTTGTTTTTAGATAAGCCATTTGTAACAAGAAAAATAAAGAACCCAGAGACAGATATTGGGGTTCAAGCTGAAGATCAGGGAAGCAAAGCAGCCAAGTTATAGAGAACTCTCAACTCTAACAGAGCTATTCTCATCGTGGCTGGAGAATGAATGCCTGATACTGAGACCTTGCTCCTGTTTTATATACCTCCCTAGTGCTGGGATTAAAGGGGTTTCATTCCAAGTGCTGAGATCATCTTTGTGTGAGCTGTTTCTCTTTAGGACTGGATTGATCTTGTGTAGTGCCCTTGGACTCACAGAGATCCCTCTACCTCTTAATCCTGAATCCTAGGATTAAAGGTGTGTGCCACCACCCCCTAGTTTCTGGCTGCTGGGATTAAAGGTGTGTGCCTAGTTTCTATGGCTTGTGACTGATTTTGCTTTCTGAATCCTCAGGCAAGCTTTAATACGTCATAAATAATACATCACTACTGTCATTTATGTTGCCCATGTTGGATTTTAGATGTAAATCTGTCAGTCTTTCTCTCTTCTTCCTCCTCCTCCTCCTCTTAAGCTATAATCACCCTATGTAGCCCATGCTGCTGGCCTTGAACTCCTAGTAATACTCCTACAACAGATAAACAAGGTGAAGAGTAAGGTCCAGAAAGCCTCACACAGAA